AATACCGCAGAGCAACATTCGGGCAGCGTGTGATGCTTTCATTGGCCGTTTGAAGGCCATAATTCGTGCCAAAGGTGACCAATTCGAACAAATCTAAACTTTTTCTAAAATTTGATGCTATTTCCGAAATTTTTTGCTTTCATTCATTTTAAAAAAATAAAAAAAAAAATTAAAAATTATGGCGTTTGACTTTGTTGCAGTTTTTTATCTCACCCTGTAATGTAATGATAATTTAAAAATAAATCATTTAAAAAGGACACATCCTTTTTGTATTTGTATTAAACGAGTATGGAGCCACTTGAAAGAACCTCTCCCCCAACAAAATTATCGGAAATTATTAGCCTTCAAATTATGTTCTAAAACTTTTCTCAAAACTACTGTCTCCAAATCGAAAACTGGCCATCTAACGTCACACAATAGCCCATTAACATTGTCATCTGGATGGTCGTTTCGCCGCCTGAACATTGTCAGCGCATTTATGGAACCCAGTTTCCTAGTTTCATTGATGTTGACGTTGGTCTGTTTCATCTTCTTCTACTGCATCGTCGTTTTTTTTTTCTTTGGCATTTGACTTGATTTTAATAAATTTCCATATATCTAAATATTTGCAGATGCAGTTACATCAAATGACGACGACGAACGCGATGCTGATGATGATGATGACTTACATACATTATTCGGAATAACTTTTTGTTTATTAGGGTAGGACGATGGGCAAAAAATTACTGTGAAGTCTGAATGTGTCTTCTTATTAAGCCAACGAACATGTTTTCACAATTAAGTTCCGCGGAACCCCAATGCTCCCCCTTAATTCTGGGTGACAGCAGCGACAGTAGCAGATGCTTGGAAATGTATTTGCTCCAATATTTTTGTGGAACACTTTTTGTGCCGTTGCCGTCAATGGCCAACATTGTTGTAAATCTAAATCTATGAACACATTTTCATTGTTATTGCCAACGAAGGTGCCCCTTGGTACTCAATATTTTTTCCAAAGACCATAAAAAATTGATTTTTTAAATGGATATGGTTTTCAAAGATTATGGAGAATTTGAATTTTGAAAACCATATTTTTTCAAAGGCCAAATTTTGAATTATTTGAGCGTTTTTAAGGCAACATTGATCCAAATATTTTACTGATATATAATGGGAATTGAGATTTCTTTTCTTTGGTAAGTTATAATGAAATTTGGTGGAGAATAATTTTGTCTTTAAGACTTTCCCCAAAAAATATAGTCTTAAGGGAGATTTGGACTTGGAATTGCAAAAGTGTTAAGTTAAGAGTAAAAAACGTAAACACATAAATTTTCACTTGTAATACATAAATTTCGAATGTAATTTTCTTCAAATCTATAAGACCTAGATATATAGTTGCTTCTGAGATTTATATTAAAATTTTGTGTAGAACATTTCTTCTTTTGACACTTTCTGCCTAAACCAACATTTTAGGTTACTTTCAGACATGAAATCGAAAAAATGCCGAAAAAAATTAATTAAAAAAATTGGCAAATATTTTCCTTTTTTGTGCAACATTTATGCAAATATTTTCTTGATATTTAATGGACATGGAGATTTATTTTCTTTGGTGACTTATAGTAAAATTTGATAATGAATAATTTTGTCTCTAACACTTTTCCCAAAAAATTAAGTGTTAAGGGAGATTTGGACTCAGAATGGAAACTTTAAAAATTGAAGATGAAACGTAAACATATAATATTCAATTGTAATATGTAAATTTCGATTGTAATTTTCTTAAAATCCATAAGACATAGTTATATAATTGCCTCTGAGATTTATAGTGAAATTCTGTGTAGAATATTTCTTCCTTTGGCATTTTCTGTCCAAAACGAAGTTTTTGGTAACTTTCAGGCGTCAAATCGAAAAAATGCCGAAAAAAATTAATTAAAAAAATTGGCAAATATTTCCCTTTTTTGTGCAACATTTATGCAAATATTTTCTTGATATTTAAAGGGAATAGAGATTTCATTTCTTTGGTGAGTTATAATGAAATTTTGTGGAGAATAATTTTGTCTTTAATACTTTCCCCAAATAATGAAGTATTAAGGGAGATATGGACTTAGAATGAAAAGGTGTTAATTTTACAGCAAAAAACGTAAACACATAATATACACTTGTAATGTACGAGTTTCATATTTAATTCCCTTAAAACCTGTTATACCTAAATACATGGTTTGTTCCGAGATCAATAATGAAAATTTGTTTACAATATTTCTTCTTTTGATACTTTCTGCCCAAAACTAAATTTTGTGTTACTTTCAGGCCTCAACTCGAAAAAAGGCCAAAGAGAAATTGAACAAAAAATGTTTGCGTGTTTTTTTTTTGCCGACATAGAACCAAATATTTTCATAATATCTAATCGAAATAGAGATTTCTTTTCTTTGATAACTTATTAAAAACTTGGATGAGGGTTAATTGTGTCTTTATCACTTTCCCCAAAAATTTAAGTATTAAGGGAGATTTGGACTCAGAATTAAAAGGTGTAAAATTTGAGGAAAAAAAGTAAACACATTATTTTTACTTGCAATGTACGAATTTCGAATGTATTTTTTTCGAAATCTATTAAACCTAGATAAAGATTTCGTTTTGAAGCTTATAGTGAAATTTTATGTAGAATATTTCTTCCTTTGACACTTTCTGCCTAAAAGTAAATTTTATGTTACTTTCGAACATCAATTCGAAAAAAGACCTATGAAAACTTGATAACAAAATTGGAAAATATTTTCACCTTTTTTGCTCACATTGATGCAAATATTTTCTTGATATCTAATGGAATTAGAGATTTCTTTTCTTTGATGACTTATTGTGAAATTTGATAATAAATAATTTTGTCTTTAACACTTTCCCCAAAAATTGAAGTATTAAGGAAGATTTGGACTCAGAATTAAAAGGTGTAAAATTTGAGGGGGAAAAAAGTAAACACATAATTTTCACATGTGATACACTAATTTCGAATGTAATTTTCTCAAAATCTATTGAACCTCCTCATATGGTTTATTCTGAGATTTATAGTTAAATTTTGTCTAGAATATTTCTTCTTTTGACACTTTCTGCCTAAAAGTAAATTTTATGTTACTTTTGGACATCAAATCGGGAAAAGACCGATGAAAGATTAATAAAAAATTGGGAAATATTTGCTCGTTTTTTTGCCAACATTAAACCAAATATTTTCTTGATATCTAATGGAAATGGAGATTTTTCTCCTTCAGTGACTTATAGTGAAATTTGATGATGAATAATTTTGTCTTTAACACTTTTTCCAGAAATTGAAGCCCTAATGGAGATTTGGGCTCAGAATTTAAACGTGTAAAATTTGAGGGGAAAAAAATTAAAGCACACAATTTTCACATTTAATGCACGAATTTGAATCGTAATTTTCTCGAAATCTATTAAACCTAGATATATGGTTTATTCTGAGATTTATAGTGAAATTTTGTGTAGAATATTTCTTCTTTTGACACTTTTTGCCCTGAACGAAATCTTATTTTACTTTCAGGCATCAATTCGAAAAAAGGCTAAGGAAAATTTTATAGAAAAAGAATTGGCAAATATTTCTCTTTTTTCAACATTGTTCCAAATATTTTCTTGATATTTAATGAAAATGGAGATTTTATTTCTTTGGTGACTCATAGTGAAATTCGATGAAGAATAATTTTGTCTTCGACATATTCTCGAAAAAATGAGGCATTAAGAGAGGATTTAGACTCAGAATAGAAACGTGTAAAATTAAGAGGAAAAACACAAAAACACATAATTTTCAATTGTAGCAGATACATTTCGAATAGAATTTTCATAAAATCTATTTGCCTTAGATATATAGTTTGTTTTGGGACTTATAGTGAAATCTTGTATATAAGATTTCTACTTTTGGAACTTTTTGTCTAAAACAAATTTTTAGGTTAATTTCAGGCATCAATTCAAAAAAGGCCGAGAAAAAATTATCAAAAAATGGCAAATATTTTTCATGATTTTAGCGACATTATTCACCGGAATTGTTTAAAATCTGGCATTTGAAGTTCGTAATGGATACCACAGCCTATGAGAGAAAAATGTCAATACAGGTCTAGGACATCGTATAGGGCCCACATATATCAGTACCCCCCGATATTCGGTACTTTGATGATTTTATCCACATTATTCACCGGAATAGTTTCAAATTTGGTATTTGAAGTTCGTAATGGGTGCTACAGCCTATGGCAGAAATTTTTCTGTGCAGGTCCACGTCTTCGTATAGCCTCCATATAACGGTACCTTCCGATATTCGGTATTTTGATGATTTTTACTGTATTATTCGCCGATTTTTTATTCAAGTTTCGCATTTGAATATTGTAATGGTTTATGACAAAAGTTGCCTATGCAGGTCCACGTCGTCGTATAGACCCTAATATAATGGCTAACGGATTTTATTTATTTTTTTTAACTGCCAAAATTTTTCGAAATGATGGAGGGTATTCAAAGTTCGGCCCGGCCGAACTTACACCTTTTTTATTTGTTAATATTTATGAATTTCTGGACTTTTGATGTCTTATAGTACCAATAGCAGAATTTTATGGCAAATCATTTTGTAGAATATTATGACTTGCTATGATCCCGTTTAAGGGAAATGTTTATTCATATTTTGAAAAAGTACCAAAAAGACCCCATTGGTGACTCGCATGAGGGTTAAAATTCTTAATCAAAATAATCCTCGTATTGTTATCTATAATATTGCCGAAGACGCTATATACCTAAAATGCATGGATTTCCAGGAATCTTTATTCGAAAATTTCCAAAAATGTAGAAGTGGAGGGAGACCTTTGAATTTTTCGCATTTGAATGTTTCGAATTTAAATTTTTCGAATTTAAATTTTTCGAATTTGAATTGTTTAACATATTTTTTGCAAAAGCCATCGAAAGGTGGATTTTTTTTCCTAAGACCATCTAGTGTGTCCTTTTTTATTAAATATTTTTAAATTAATTAAATTTTTAAATTCCTTATCACATACCTGGCTTCGCCTCAACACCTCCAAAGGCCGGCTGACTCCATATTGCATTAAGTACGATGAGTATAAGTCCAATTTGTCGCATTCTTCTATAGATGTGTTGTTGCAACGGTGGCCGGGATGTGCCTCCTTTCATTGTTGTAGTTGTTGTTTTCGACGTCAAGACCATAAGTCATGTACACACACACGAGTTTTCAATTGTTAATTTATTCCAATTTATTTACAACAAAAAATTGTTTTCAATTAAAAAACATGTTGGAATGTAAACTAAATGAAATACAACAAAAAAAAAACAATAATGGAAATATTTTTTTTAATAGAATTCTAAAAATAAACAAATTTAAATGATAAAACTGATTACAATATTTTTACAATTCGGGAGTCTTATCAAAATGACCCAAAGAAGGCATGCATTTGTTTTTAATTCAAAAATTCACCACTTTTTTCAAATTATTTTTCTTAATTTTCATTATCAGCTGTTTTCTTTAATTTGTCTCAAATTTCTTTTTTTTTTTTGTTTTTGATTTTCATTAAAAAAAAAAAAAAAAAAAAAAAAAACTATAAATTGACCCAAAACCGGGAAGCCAAAATTTTGTTTTTTAATTCACTTCATTTTTGTTTCTCAATTCGGTGATGATAACATTTTGAACTCGCCGAGAGGAAATAGTGCAGTCACTTATCACATTTTTTAGGTTAGAGATTCAGGCATGAAGATGAATTAAGTGTGAGTACAATATACTATGATCTACAAATATCCATGGTTTTGAAATATTTTCTCCACATTTCGATACAAATTATTAATATTTTAATAAAGTTTTAATTTTTTTTTATTCCCGAAACACAGAATTTATGAGAAAACACCATGAAATCCCACTCATTTATGTGGAAATTTCCACATTTTTTGAAAATTTACATTTGGCAATTCCAATTTCCTTTTTATTTTTATGAAATATTGGTAAAATCTTAAAAAATTCTAATAATTTGTTGAATTTAAATCAATAAAATAAGTTTTCACAAATTATGCACTGATGACACATCACTTCCGGTTTATACATTTTAATTAATTTGCCAGTTTTTTTTAATATTTTAATTTTTCTTCATATTATATTTTTTCTCTACAATTTTTTCAACATTTCCCTATTTTTTTTTCAAAATTCCTTTAATTTGTATTAATTTTTTACCACATTCCAAATATTTCTTTTCTTTCCACAATCACACACCACTTTTCTTTTTTATTATTTCACTTCTTTAAACTTTTTACACTTCTTTTTCAGTTTCTTTTCCGAATTTTCGAACCGTCACCAACCGCCGCCAAACAGGAACTGAAACTTTTGATTCAAAACGATCGTTCAATTCAATTCAATTTTAAATTATTTCACCACAGCTTCATCTTTGGTTATCTATCAATGAAATGAAAAGAGCTTCGCTCATTCATTGATGACAATCAACAAGAGAGAGAAAAGAGAGCAAAATAGAATTAGAAAATATATTGAGAAAGCTCTAGAGATCACTTGAACTTACCATCAAGATCCTTGAAAAAATGTTCTATTCAAAATCCATGGCTGAAGGTCTTTGGAAATAATATTTTTCAAAATCCGCACCTGAATATCGTTGGAAAGAATATTTTATTTTATACTAAGCCTGAAGGACTTTGGAAACAGTATTTTATTCAAAATCCACACCTTAGATTCTTTGGAAAGAAGATTTTATTCCAAATCCACGACTGGAGTTGTTTGGAAAGAATATTTTAATCAAAATTCACGCCTCAAGGTCCTACGAACGAATATTTTATTCAAAATCTAAAGGTCGTTGGAAAGAATATGTTATTCAAAAGCCACGCCTGAAGGTCGTTGAAAAGAGTATTTTATACAAATCCAGGCCAGAAGATCTTCTGAAAAAATATTTTATTCAAAATCCTTTCATTGGAGTCCTTGGAAAGAATATTTTTTTTTTAAATCCATACCTGAAGGTGGTAGGAGAGAATATTTTAGTCAAAATCCTCTCCTGAAGACCGTCGGAAAATATTTTCCTTTGAAAATCCACGGCTGAAGATCGTTGGAAGGAATATTTTATTAAAAATCCATACCTGAAGGTCGTAGGGGAGAATATTTTAGACAAAATTCTTTTCCTTTGAAAATCCACGGCTGAAGATCGTTGGAAGGAATATTTTATTAAAAACCCATGCCTGAAGGTGGTGGAAATAACCGCCGCAAAATATTTTCCTTTAAAAATCCACGACTGAAGATCGTTGGAAGGAACATTTTATTCACAAACCACGCCCGAAGGTCGTTGGAAAGATTATTTTATTCAAAACCCACTCATAATGGCCCTTGGAAAGAATATTTTATTCAAAGTTCACCCGCAATCGTCTTTGGAAAGAACATTTGATTCAAAATCCAAGCCTGAAGGTCGTTGGAAAGAATATTTTATTAAAAATCCTAGCCTGGTGGTGGTCGGAAAGATTATTTTACTCAAAGTCCAACCGCAGTGGTCTATGGATAAACCTGAAGGTCTTTGAAAGGAATATTTTATTCAAAATGCATGCCTGAAGGTCGTTATCCAAGTTGGCCGATTGTTGGAAGGAAACAATATTTTATTCAAAGTCCACCCGCAATGGTCTTTGGAAAGAACATTTTATTCAAAACCCAAGCCTGGATGTCGTTGAAATGACTATTTTATTCAAAACCCAAGCCTAAAGGTTGTTGGAAAGACTATTTTATTCAAAATCCTGGTCCAAAGATCTTTGGAAAAAATATTTTAATCAAAATCTACTGCTGAAGGTCGTTGGAAAGAATATTTCATTCAAAATCTATAACTGAAGGTCATTGCAAGAAATACTTCATTCAAAATCCACGCCTGAAGGTCGTTGAAAAGAATATATTTTTTTTAAATCCACGTCTAAAGATCTATGGAAAGAATATTTCTTTCAAATTTTATTCAAAATCCAGGGCCGAAGGTCGTTACAAAGAATATTTTATTCAAAACCCACGCCTGAAAGACATTGGAAAAAATAATTTATTCAAAATCCACGCCTGGAGTTCCTTAGAAAGATAATTTCACTCTAAATCCATACCTGATGATCGTCGAAAACAAAATTTTATTCAAAATCCACGCCCGAAGGTCGTTGAAAAAAATATTTTATTGAAAATCCACTACTGAAATTGATTGAAAAGAATATTTTATTCAAAATCCACGCCCGAAGGTCGTTGAAAAAAATATTTTATTGAAAATCCACTACTGAAATTGATTGAAAAGAATATTTTATTCAAAATCCACGCCCGAAGATCCTTGGAAAGAATATTTATTCAAAAATCACTCATAGTGGTCCTTGGAGTTCCTTGAAATGAATATTTTATTGAAAATCCACGACTGGAGATCCATGAAAAGAATATTTTATTCAAAATACTTGCTTGAAGGTCGTTGGAAAAAATATTTGTTCAAAACCCACACCTGATGGTCCCTGGAAACAATATTGGTTGAGATGAGTGTTTTGGAAATATCATTCGCATTAAAATCTATCTCCTATTTCTCTAACCCTTATGTATTGAAAGTCCTCCCCTGAAAAAAAAAAAACACTTTCCTCCCTTCTACTTTTCGAAAATATTTTTATTTTCAAAACCATCAAAGCAGCCCAAGCAAATTTGAGGAATACACATTTTTCAAAAATTGTGAAAATTTTTTCAATTCATTTCAAAACTTGCCAACAGCAAGCTGCTTCCAAAATTTTAAGTTAAAAAATTATTAAAAAAAAGATAAATTCATAGAAAATCCTTCAATCCTTTTTCTTACAAAAAAAGTTTAAAAAGATGTAAGTTTCAGATCTTTAAAAAAGATTTTAAAATAATTTATTTAATTATTTATTTAAAATAACATTAATATTTTTATTTCCCTTTTTCAGAAAAACAAATTGAAAATGTGCGATCCTTGCTGCCCTCCATGTGGACCATGCGGACCCTGTAGCCCATGTGATCCTTGCTGTGCTCCTTTTGAGGTAAGATTCCATTACATAAAAATATTTTCGGATCGATTCCACAATATTGAGCCCCCCCCTCTTTCGGTATTGTGGAACCGATCCCTAGCTAATAAGAGTCGGTTATCTAAGAGAAAGCAAATGCAATAGCCATCTATTTCACCTTTTCAATTTATATTCCGAATTGCAAATTGGCTGGCCGAACTCTTTCTCCAACTACCAATTTATGACATGCTACCCGATATCGGCCGTTTAACGAATGATACTGCTTTCCGTGCTGCTTGAAAACATGTCTTCTGCTGCTTGAATCCATCTTCTGCTGCTAAACTTCTCAATTTGCTGCTGGAATCCATCATTTGCTGTTGGAATCCCATAATTTGCTGCTTGAATCCCATCATTTGCTGCTTGAATCCCATCATTTACCGCTTGAATCCCATCATCTGCTGCTTGAATCCCATCATCTGATGCTTGAATACCTCACTTGCCGCTTGAATCCCATCATCTGCTGCTTAAATCCAATAATTTACCGCTTCAATCTTTTCCTCCTCACTGCAGTGCTCTCCAAAATGTTACACGGGAGCTCAATTGGATGCCATACCACAATGTGCGCCACGGATACCGCCACCAGTACCCAAATGCATTACCGTCCAGCAGCCACCTCGCTTGATTTGCAAAAAGCGAGTAGTCTTCACGGAAAAAGTTGTTCCCGAACCCATGGTGGTGAATCGATGTCGACAAATCACCATACCCAAAGTGGTGGACACAACACGTGTCATTAAAGTGCCAAAATTGACATGGGTATCACAAATGGTCCGTGAGCCAAGAGTCATCTACTATCCGTCGATGGTCCCCGACCCTTATGTGGTGTGCTATCCCAAGCGTATTTGTGAACCGCGTGAAGTCTGCCAATCGATATTGTGTCAGCCCAAGCCGCAAACGCTAGATGTTCCACCGCCCAGAGAATTTTGCTGTTATCCCACGGGTCCAATTAACTATAAGCCCAGTGCAGCTTGTCCACCATGTCCAATGGGACCATCATCACCCTGTGGGCCATGTGGTCCCTTGCCATGTTTTTCCACCAGTCAATATCCCCTGTGTGAGCCGTGTGGGCCTTGTGGACCTTGCGGACCGTGTGGACCTTGTGGGCCTTGCGGACCATATGGGCCTTGCGGACCATGTTTGCCACCTAACTGTGGGCCTTGTGGCATGACCATGCCATCTGGACCTTATGTTCCTACTCCATGTGGACCTTGTGGCCCTTGCGGACCCTGTGGACCTTGTGGCCCTTGCGGACCCTGTGGACCTTGTGGACCCTGCGGCCCCTGTGGCCCTTACGGTACGTGTGGACCTTGTATACCTGGTTGTCCCTATGAAGCACCTGAATGTGGTCCTTGTTATCCCTGTTCGCCAACACCCTGGAATACTCAGTGTGGACCTTGTGGCCCTTCTGGACCTCAAGTGCCTTGTGAACCTTGTGGTCCCTGTATGGGTCCTTGCAATCCATGTGGACCTTCGTGTTAACCTCTTACAATTTTCATGGTATATTCTCAAGGTGAGTCTTATTGCACGGATTCACTTTGACGTATGTGCACAAGGTGGGTCCTAAATGAGACTCCACCTTGAAAATATACATCCTTAACTCCTGGGAAAACAGAAAATACTAATTATTCTTCCATGTTTTCCTTTCTTTGCAGCCTAAATCTTGTCGCAGCCATGAACTACGCTCCGGCATTATGTACACCACCTGCGATTGTATTAAACGAAATGGCCTCCAAGATAAATGTCCTCGTTCCCAGTGTCAGGGTCGTTCGGCTTGCATGTGTCTACCGACACCGAATTGTTGTCCCTCAGCATTTCCTTTACGTTTTGCCAATATGACAATGGGTGTTAAGAAACGTCGTGTGGGTGGTGGTGGCAATGCATGTTCCCAACAACCAATGTCTGCATCATGTCCTCCACCATGTGGTCCGTGTGATCCTTGTTGTGGACCCTCAAATCCCATGGGTGGAGCTCCATCACCAGTTCCTTGCTCACCATCACCCAACTGCTGTCCACCCCTACCGGAAGCTGGTATACCTGATCCGAGAATATGGAATGTCTGCAATACACCGCCATGTTATCCATGTAAGTTGGGGTGAAAAATATTTAAGTTATCCGTGAGGGAACAATTTTAAATTTAAAATTTGTTTTCAAAACTTTGGTGAAAATAATATATTTATCAAAATCCACGCCTAAAGGTAATTGGAAAAATCCGTTCATGGGGGTCCTTAGAAAGAATATTTAATTCAAAATCCACGTCCAAATTGAAAAGAATATTCTATTCAAAATTAACGCGTGTAGTTCCTTGAAAAGAATATTTTATTCAAAATTCGCGCGTATAGTTCCTTGAAAAGAATATTTTATTCAAAATCCATACCTGAAGTCCCTTGGAAACAATATTTTATTAAAAATTCAGGCATGATGATACTTGAAAAGAATATTTTGTTCAAAATCTACTCCTAAAAATCGTTAAAAATAATGTATTATTCTAAATCCACGACTGAATGTCATTGGAAATAATACTTTATTTAAAATTCATTCCTGAAGGTCGTTGGAAAGAGTATTTTATTGAAATTCCAGGTCTGAAGTTTGTTGGAAAAAACATTTTATTTAAAATCCGCGCCTGATGGTCATTGGAAGGAATATTTTATTCAAAATCCATACCTGAAGGTCCATGGAAACAATATTTTATTCAAATTCAAAATGTTGCATTTAAAATCCACGTCTGAAGGTCGTTGGAAATAATATTTTATTTAAAATATAGACTCGAAGATCGTTGAAAAGAATATTTCATTCAAAATCAATGCCTGAAGGTCATTGGAAACAATATTTTTTTCAAAATCCAACCCTGATGATCGTTGGAAAGAATATTTGATGCAACTTCCACGCTTGATTGAACCTGGAAAAAATAATTATATAAAAAATTTACACCTCATAGTCCCTTGCAAAAATATTGGTGGTCAGATGAGTCTTCTTGAAAATACATTATATTAGTGGATCTATCTTTAGGCAATTTTTATATGATAGAGCCTCCTAAAAGTTTTTGTTATCCACAAAAGATTAGCTATTTTTCTGTCCATATAACGAGCCAAGAGAGCTCTTCCATTATAGAAGTCATACTGAGAATGATTCTATCCGCCTGAGAATTCAGAGAATTCAAAAATACTCCAAAGATATGGAAAGATTCCCCCATATTTGTAGCAACCTTTAAAATTTTATGCGAAATTCCCTGATTTTTGATAAAGATTTAAAGGAGGAATTATGAGACTCGATTATGGAATTATTAAATGCAAAAAAATAGATATTATATTATGGACTAAATAACAGGGATATAAAGGTTTCAGACTTATTACTTTTGCCTTTCTTATCCTAAAATCCCTTTAATTTTGTCCTTTTTTTGTTTGTTTTAACCATACTAAAAGGTCCCCCATCCACTTGTCCGCAACGTTATTTAAAAGGAGATTTTGAGCCATGTAAATGGAAGTGTGCTTGCAAGGCTCATTGCTATGATACACCACCAAAACCATGCTGTTAAGATTTTTGGCTTTAATGACAAATGGAAAAACTAAGATAAAAAGGCACACTTTTCAATAAACTTATTATCAAAGCTATATCTATTCCAGTGCAATTTTTTTAATAAAATACTTATTTGGTAAGAGACCTTACTACATTTAATGCTAATAACGTCTTCCTTGTTTTTCTTTATTGCAGGTGGATTTTAAGCAAATGCCTTGACCGTAACCTCCAATTAAAACCACAATCCAGTAGGACTCACAATTTAAAGACAAGCCAAATATTCCGATTTTCACATTTTTATGCAAAGTAGAAAAAAGATTTTGGGAAAAAAGAGAAAAATAACACGATGAAATTTTCAAGTTAGATAAATGTGTAACTTTTTTATTTAAAATATATATATTTTTTTATTTTTTTTCTTTTTTAATAAAACACATAATTATTCTTATATACTTTATTAAATTTTGGAAATTTTTATCTATGCTTCTACAATGGAAGTTCATGGAAAATGTACTGAGAATGGGAGAAGTTTAATATGTCAAAGCCATATAAAGGAATTGTTTGAAAATTCACAAAAATATAATTATTATGATCTGGATTAGAGCTTGGATTATTAAAACGCTTTGATTTATTAAAACACATATAAGCCCATTTAAGAATCTGCAAACACTTATTAGAAAAATCTAAGTTGGAGTTGGAGTCTTCGGAAATTAGTTTAAAAAGTACACGTTTATAGTAATTTTTAAATCTTTGAAAATTTGTTTAAGAATTGCTCGTTAATAGTCTTTGAAAGTTTGATTTCCAAGTTCACGTTCATAGTCCTGCAGGGTTTGTTCCTTTACAGTCCTTAAAATTCCACGTTTATAGAACGTATAAGTGTCTAAAAATATCCTTAAATATTGCAAATATTTTTCATATCCTTCCACATAAAACATTGTGGTCAGTTTCGCGCCTACTGCACCCTTAATATCAATGCTGCTCTCGTGCTTTAGAATAACTGCATAAAAGCTCCGTTTATGGTTCCTTTACTGACCTTAAAATTCCACATTTATAATCCTTTGAGTGTCTTAAAAATATCCTTAAATATTGCCGTTATTTGTTATATCCTTCCACATAAAACATTGTGGTCAATTTCGCGCCTACAGCACCCTTAATATAAATGCTGCTCTAGTTAATTCTTGTAGTAATCCGAGTATTAAAAAAACACAAGTTTATTCGTTGGTTGCTCAAAAATTACTCCTCTTTATTGAAAACAATAATTAAAATGAAAGTTACGATTATAAACTTATTTAAAGTGAAAATTGCAATAACTGCATTTTGACAATTTATAAAATTATTAGTAATTCTATAGCTGGTGGCCTGTTTACAATTCTTTGAAATTTAAATATATGCTTATTTAACAATTCTTTTATTGAACAATTCTTTATTTTACAGTTCTTTTTCGGTCTGTTGAACTATTTAAAATTCTTACTAATTTTATATGTAGCAATTCATACGGTTATTGACTTATTAGCAATTCTTAATAATTTTTATTATTTATTTGCTTGATTTAACCTTGGTGGCTTTGTAGGTGCTTGTGTTAATGTTGTTGTTGTTGATGTTGTTTCTGTAACTCCTCCCCCCTTAGTATGGAGCGATGGCCAAAAGAATTGATGGTCAGAAGCGACAACAGTATTGGCGGGAAGTTCATTTACCACTAATTTTGTCTTCTGTTTCATTATATAGGTGAAAATTACAATTCCAATTATTAACATTAAAGTTCCATAATTTATGTGTCTGTGAAGTTCTGTATTGTTTGATAACTCTTCGATGGCTAACTTATTTTCTAGATGGTACTCTTTGAGTTTAGGTATATTTAAAGTTTCTATTGTAGACAAAGGTTTTATGTTTATTTCTGTGGGTAGTTTTACAATAAAATCGTCCCAATATATGTTTGGGTTATCTTCGTAGATAATTCCGTTAATAATAACATTACAGTTTTTAAAATTTATTAATAAGTTGCCTTCAATATTATGTTTTTCGGAGTTACATGATGTTTTCATTTCTGTGGTCGGTAAATTTTTTATTAACACAAGTCCTTGTTCAGGTTGTGATATTTCTGTAATTTGGCCTATATTATTGAGATTACAATTAGCTTCTAAATTACTTATGATTTTTCCAAAGCATGAAGAATTTTCCATAGTTTCTTGTAGTGAACTTTCTTTACAATAATATATGTTTTCGATTTTCTTACATAAATTTTCGAAATATTGAATTTTATTATTATTATAAATTGTGTAAGGTTTTATAACTATTTCTTTTGTTTTATTAATTGGTATAGGAATTGTATGGGAAATTGTGTAATTGGTTAATGGGATGTGGGGAATTTGAATGTTAAAAACGATATTGGTATCATTGTAAAATGCCTGTAATTATAAGAGTTCATATAAATGTTCTGTTGTATCAATTTTAATTGACTGATTCTCTAAATTGTTCCCTATTTCTTCTAACTCTTGCGTATTTAATATCATCTTGGGTATAATTCCGAGGCTAGACAATGTCATCGCTTCAGAAACATCTTTAATATGATTTGTCAGTAAATCAATGTGGAAATTAATCTGATTTAAATACTGCATATCATTTATAAGTCTTGAGTTGGAGTTTATGCTATTTTGAGAATTCTTTATTGACTCTACTATTATATCTTGTTCTTTATTTATGTGGTCTGTGATATTTTCTATTCTTTCAATGATTCTAGTACTAAGTATATTCTGTTTACTGGTTTCAGTTTGTAATTTATTTGTTAGATTAAATATAGCCTGGTTAATACGGAGAGCATCATTATCGTCCATATTACCTGTGATAAATTTAACTGCTGAACCTATACCATTAAATAATCCTCTTTTCCTGCGGTATTTAGGAGTTATTGAATTCAATTTATCCTTAAGGTCTTTAAGTTTAAATTTTGTTACCTTTAAGGAATCTCTGTTGTAATATGTGGGAGTAAATTGTTTGACAGATTCCTCAATTTTCATGACATTATCCTTATAAGAATCTAATTTCATTATATGTATAAGGTTGATATAGTCAATTATTGTTTTAGCAGTTCCCAGTTTTATTTGTAATAATCCCTGGGTGTCTTTTAAATTGTGTATCTCCAGTGTTTGTGTGTGTATCATGGGTATTAATCTGAAATAAAAGATTATGAAAATTGTTTTTTTCTTATTTTTGATTTGTGAAGTTTCGTGTTTTGTGTAGTAAGTAATGTTGCTTTGTTGTTTTGTTTCACTTTGTGCCTAGAAAATCTCGGTGTTAATTTGTTTCTCCTACATTCCTTCCTGTATATATAGTTATCTACATCATAATTTAGTGGATCTTGTCTGTCTGCATTAAGTTTTTCTATGCGTTTGTCCGTGTCGGTTTCCAATTTTTCCTTAATAGATTCGTAGAGTTGTGTTCGAAATTGATTAATTTTAGAAAGATATTCGTGTTCATTGTTAAATGTAATTTGACGGTTAATTTTATAGGTTCTTCCATAGAAAAGTTCGAAAGGTGTAATTTTAGTAGAAGAATGTATTGCGTTATTATAGGTTATAAGAACTTCTGTTAGGATGTCGTCATGATCCATTTCTAACTTTTTTTCTTTAATTTTCTCGACTATTAATCTGTAAGTTTCAGTTAATGTTGAATGGAGTCTTTCTACGGGGGAATTGCTAGAAGATTGTTGAAAAGATGTAAAGTGTAGGTCAATTTGGTATTGCTGACAAAAGTCTTTAAATATGTTTGATGTGAATTCGGTTCCTTGGTCACAAACTATTTTGTTAGGTATGCCATGCAGGCTAAGAAAATGTTTTAAAGATTTAATAACGCAAAGGCTGTTTCTCGCTGTTAGAGTATATGCTGCGGCGAATTTGGAAAATTTGTCTATAATGGTTAAAATATTTTTGCTGTTAATCGTGTAAATGTCTATATGTATTATATCTAATGGTTTTACAGGTGTGGGAGGTTTTTCAAACTTATTCTTCGGAGGATGTCTATCATATTTTAGTCTTTGGCATGAAGTACAATTATTTATTGTTTGAGCTATCTTTGATTTCATGTATGGAAAGTAATATTCGCGTTTTAGGTGGTCATAGGTTTCTTGTATGCCTCTGTGATTATTGTTTTCGTGATAGTCTTGAATGATTTTATCCTGATTATCGTTTTCTTTTATGTCCTTTACTATTTCAGTACACCTAACTAAACGAAAAATTTTGCTTTGTGCAAAATGTTTGGAATATACATTTTGAATAATGCGAAAAGTTTCATTATCTGTAAAAATTGCCGTGGTTTTATTGGGCGCTAGATGATTTTTAAAAATTTGTGTTATAATTTCCTCTGTATAATTGGGGTATGTAAATGTTTTTCTATATTTGTTTTTAAAAACTACTTCTTGTTTTATGTGAGAATTAGAGTTTCCTGTCTTAAATAATGTTTGTAAATTAAAATCATTTATTGGTTTTTCCGAAATCGGAATACCATCATCGCAGTTTTCCTCTGCAGAGTGAATAGTACTACCAGAAGTGGCTTGATTTGACGTTGTATCAAATGCATTTATGTTTAGATTGACTGATGTGTCAGTCTTTATGCGACTAAGGGCATCGGCGTTTGTGTTTAGTTTGCCTTTTTTGTATATAATTTCATAATCGAATTCTTCTAGTTTCAATCGCCATCTTATTAATTTAGAGTTTGGCTCTTTCAGGCTCATAATCCATGTGAGTGGTTTATGATCTGTTATGATTCTGAACTGGTGACCAAATAGGTATGGTCGAAAATATTTTGTAGCCCAAACTATGGCTAAGAGCTCTTTTTCTATTGTTGAGTAATTGATTTCCGATGTCGTGAGTGTGCGACTTGCGTAACAAATCGGTTTGTCGTTCCCTATAGGTCCTTGCGAAAGAATGGCTCCTAGCGCAAAATTACTTGCGTCTGTCGTAAGATTGAAAGGCTTAGAAAAATCTGGATATTGTAAGATAGGGTCATTTACCAAGAGTTGTTTACAAATTTCAAACGTTTTTTTATAGTTATCGTCGACTATAACAGTTTTATTTTTCTTCAGACAAGCTGTAAATGGCTTTGTTATTTTGGCAAAGTCTTTAATAAATTTACGGTAATAACCTAGTAGACCTAAAAACGATTTTATTTCTTTTTGATTTGTGGGTATAGGAAAGTTTTGGATCGCCTTTATTTTGTCAGGATTTGGTTTTACTCCTTCTGTGGTCACTAAATGGCCCAAAAATGCGCATTCCTTATGTAAGAATTCAGACTTATCTAATTGAATCTTAAGATTAGCTTCTCTAAGGGCTTCAAAAACTTTTCTTAAATTTTCCGAATGTTCTTGGAGTGAGGTTGAATAGACAATGATGTCGTCTAAATAGACAAGACACACTGTTCCTATCAAATCTTTAAGAACGCAATCCATCACCCGTTGAAATGTTGATGGTGCATTTTTTAAGCCGAAGGGCATTCTCACAAATTCGTAGTGCCCATTTTCTACTGTAAATGCTGTCTTGGGAATATCTTTTGGATTCATTTCTATTTGATGGAATCCGCTAGCCAAGTCCAATGTGGTAAAATACATGCACTTGCCAAGTTTGTCCAGTATTTCATTTATGTTTGGTATTGGGTATCTATCTGATATTGTTTTATCGTTTAGTTTCCTGTAATCAATAACTAAACGCCACTTTTTTTTCCCACTAGCATCTGCTTTTTTTGGGACTATCCAAACAGGTGCACTCCATGGTGAGTAGCTTTCCCGTATGATACCCTGATTTAACATGTCTGAAATTTGTTTTTTTACTTCTTCTTTGTGGATATGGGGGTATCTATATGATTTTGTGTAAATAGGAATGTCGTCTCTTGTGACAATGTTGTGTTTGATTTTATTGGTGAAGGTAAGGGACTGATTATCTTGAAGAAAAATATCTTCAAATTCTTTACATAGTTTTGTGATAACCTTTTGTTCTTCCATATTCAAATGATCAATTCTAAGATTGTCCAGTAACTTAGGGCTTTGAAATTCAGGAATATGTTCGAAGCTTATATTATTAATTTCCCTATAATATGAATTTTTTATTGGATTTACTTTAATTGGGTTTTCGATTAAAATTATTTTGTCCGAGTTTGACTTATTATTTATTTCAACGAAGCTGTACCAGTTTTCAGCCTTGTACATACCAGATGAAATGGTTACTTCTGGGTTAATTGATATTGTGGGGATTAGGAAATCGCCACTTTCTAAATCTACAGGAATTTTCATAATTGCTTTAGTTTTTGGTGATATAAGAAATTTACCGGAAGTTAAGTTTGGTTTAAAAGACAAAGGGATGCAGCAATTGTTTGTAATTAATTGCTTTTTCTCGAGGTCTATTTTTGCACCTAAATTAGTAAGTATATCGAGTCCAATGAGACCATCGAAATAGTTATGAAATTTAAAGACAAAGAATTCCAGGATTCCACATTCTCGGAATTCTATGAACATAGGGATGTTAACTTTTGTATTCAATTGGTGTTTGTTTAACACAGTGGTTATGATTATTGGTGCACAGTTTTCTATGTTTAATTTTCCTGTATATTCTGGGTTTATAAAGGATGCTGATGCGCCTGTGTCTATAAGAAAACGGAGTGGACGCCCAAATGGAGATGAAATGTTTATGTAAGGCAGGTTAGTGCCATGTTTGTTTATGTCTAGGTATCCTGTTGGGTTTTGGAGGCATCTAATTGAAAATTTTGTACATCCTCTATCTCGTTGTAATTGTCCAACTCAGGTAAATAATTAGGAATGTTATAGTTTACAGGATCTGAATAGGTATTAAAGTTCCTATAGTTATGGTCAATATGATGTACTTCTCTTGGAAATCTACGTGTTTGTCCACTATTATTCCTTAGATGAGTATAGCCTGAACTAGTGTCCATGGGTTCTGGTGGTGGAAAATTTGTGTTACTGTCTAAGCGTTGTTGTCTAAAATTGCTAAATTGGTTTTGATTGTTTGTGGCTGTAGGGTATTGTGTTTGCATAGGTGTTGGTAAAAAATTCTGTGCTAACTGAGGTCTATTAATTGGTGTTGGTAAATTTAATTGGGGTCTATTAAATGGTTGATTCATTGGTAATTGTGGTCTATTGAAATGCATAGGTGGACTATAAATCGCGTTTTGTTGTCTATAATGATTTGGAGTGAATGGTTTTTTAATGTTAGGGTAAGAATGTTGTGAATTGTACTGTCTATAAGTTTCTTGCCTTTTCAAAATGTTCCTGTTTTCTTGTCTTATATAAAACATGTTTTGTTCGGTAATACAGTATGAAAAAGCTATCGGTAAAGTATCTGGCTTCATAGCCCTAATGGAAGAGCCTAATGGTTCTCTAAGTCCAGATAAAAATGTGTTAAGGCACATTTTATCAAATAAATCTCGTTTAGCTTTTATTATGTTGGCATCTACCTCGTGTATCATCAGATTATTGTTAATTGAAGCTTGGATCTCTACAACTGAACTATAAAATTCCTCAAGTGTCTTATTATTTTGTTTTAGTAGGTGTAAGTCTCGAATCAATGAAGTTTCATTTCGTTTATCAGAGTAATGTAATATGAGATTATTTTTAATGCTCTGCCAGCTCAAGTCTGTGCTATACATATTCAAAATCTCATTTGCTTCTCCTTCAATTTTGTTACGTATAGACCTTAAAATCATCTTGCCAAGAGGGGTGCCATCAATGGGTGTTAATACTGTAAGTATTTCCTCCACATTGCTTATGAAATCGTATAGCAATCTCGGATTTCCATCAAATTTTGGAAGATCCTTGACAGCATCTGGGATTCTTAAGGAATCCAGTATATTTCTTTCTGTCGAGGGTGAACTGTTCGTAGAATTCATTACACCACTTTGATTATTTTGACTGATACTCATATCGGTTTCAGATTCTGGGATAGGAATAAGGGTTCTTGGGATAGTATAAGGACGAAATTTACGCATATGCTTATTTTTTCTCTTTAATTCAATCAATTATTTTCTTTAGAAAGCAAAATTATTTTATAATATCGAAATATATATGTTTATATTTAAATATATTCACTTAAATAATATTTAATAGGTAAATTATTTAAAATATTATCTATTTTTTCTTTTCTTTGAAAAACACGGTTAAATTGTTTTATATTTGTTCACAATATAAGTTTTCACTTTTACTTTTATTAGTAATATGATTAGTTCATATATATTTCAAGTTTTATTTAGATTAATTCTTAAAGTATTTTACATTACAGAAATATGTTGTGCTTACTTAAAAGACAAGATTAAGAAGAAGGAAGTGAAATGTAATTTGACAGGCGTTCACTTTTATGCAATGTTGCAAAATTTAGTATTAGTATTACACTATACTACAGTTCTTCCCCCATCAGGTAGTCACCATATCTCAGAGGAGCTTTCCTTTGACGTGCTGGACGACTGCGGATTGATGTAGACACTGTTTCTTGACTTGTTGTCGCCGTATCGCTTACTATTGCGGATGTGTCCTCTGATGGCAAACAATCAGGAACTATATTTTGGTCTGGCTCGACAGTTGTTCCTACTTGCTGACTGCTGGTTTCATTTAAGGCTGGAGATGCAGATGTATCGGGTAAACGTGTGCGTAGTTGGTCTATATGTCGTGATTGTATGTTATCTCCATCTAGAATTTCATAATTTCGTGATCCGGTTGACTGAACTGTTCCTGGTAACCATTTTTCTCCAATGCCATAATTCCTATACCAAACCTTCTCACCTGTTCCAAGCTTCCTCACCGGCTTTTCTGGTGTATTTCCCTTTATTGATTTTGAACTGGCTGGATGTATGTGATCCATCAATGTTTTTATCTTTCTCCCCATTAGCATCTCGGACGGAGTAATATTGCTGCTGCTATTTGGTGTTGTGCGAAGTCGTAAAAGTATGTTGGATAGCTCTTTATGCAAATTATTTGTCTTCACTTTCCTCAAAAAATTTTTAACGGTCTGGACAAATCTTTCCGCTTGTCCGTTCGATGAAGGGTGGTAGGGTGCTGTCCGTACATGGTAAATCCCATTCCCCTTCAAATATCCTTCAAATTCCTCCGAAATAAAATTTCTGCCATTATCTGTCACCACTGTGTCAGGTATACCATGAGTAGAAAATATCTCTCGCAAAAGTTCAATTGTTTTATTTGACGTAATAGATTTTGTCATTTTTACTTCCACCCATTTTGAGTGAGAATCTACTACAATCAAAAAGTTCGTCCCCAAAAATGGACCTGCGTAATCTAGATGTAATCTGGACCAAGGCCTCTGTGTTTCAGGCCAACTTTTCGGTTCTGCAACTGGTGGGCTTCTACTTTGTTGACAACATTTTTCACATCCTTTTGCTAATATTTCAATATCTTTATCTAATCCCGGCCACCAAAAATAGCTGCGAGCTATTGCTTTCATTGCTGTTATTCCTTGATGTATTTCATGGAGCATTGCTAATATTCTGCCTCGAAGTTTGTGTGGAATAATTACTCGACATCCCCACAATAAGCATTGACCATCTACAGAAAGTTCATTCACTCTTGCAGCATACGGTTTTAAGTCATCTGAATCTGCCAATAATTTTTTGTACTTTCTTTGAATATGCCAAATTACTTTTGACAATATTGGATCAGTCCTGGTTGCATTTGATATCTCCTTCGCTGTTACTAAAAATTGTTCTTCGCCCTCTATACAATATAAAACGTTATAATCTGGCGGAACACTTGTATCACTCACCAGCGGCAATCTACTAAGAGCATCTGCGTTTTGATTATTCATTCCTTCTCTATACTCAATTTCGTATTTGTATGCTCCCATCATTAACGACCATCGTAATAATCTGGGCGAAATATGCTGTGGAATTGGTTTAGAAGGATTCAAGAGTCCCAGCAATGGTTTATGATCCGTATAAATCGTAAATTTCCGGCCACACAAATACTGATGAAATTTCTTTATTCCAAAAATAATAGAGAGTGCCTCTTTGTCAAGCTGCGAATAATTCTTCTCTGCTGGTTGCAGCGTTCTTGAACCAAATGCTATTGGTGCCTCTCTTCCATCTGGCATCACATGAGCGAGAACGGCCCCGACTCCATATGGCGATGCGTCTCCGGACAATATCAAAGGTAATTCTGGTGAATAGTGCACTAGTACTTGTTCAGATTTTAAAATCTCCTTTGCTCTACTGAAACTGGATCTCTGCTCCTTACCCCATCTAAACAAAACATCTTTCTTTAGCAACCTGTATAATGGTTCCAATAAATCTGCCTTGTTCTGGAAAAAACGATCATAAAAATTTAGCAATCCTAAAAACGCTTGAAGTTGTTGTTTATTGGTAGGCTCCGGTGCATCGGACACTGCTTTTATTTTCTCAAGCGTTGGCTTGACTCCGTTCTGGTTTATAATAAATCCTAAAAATGTTATTTCTGGCACAGCAAATACACATTTCGTTTTCTTTAGTTTGAGGCCTGCGTTTTGTATGCGTCGCAGTGTCTCTTTCGTTCGTAACCACATTTCCTCCATCGTCGAACCTCCAATCAAAATATCGTCCAAGTAAACCACCACACCTGGAACATCACCCACAATGTTTTCCATCATTCTTTGAAATATGCTTGGAGCTGTTGAAATTCCAAAAGGTAATCTGGTTACTTCAAATAATCCCTTATGAGTATTTAAAGTGAGAATCTTCGCCGATTCCTCATCTACTTTTACTTGCGTGTACGCTCTATCCAAATCTAAACTTGAAAACCACTTACAGTTGGATAATGTTGCAAAGACTTCTGTGTTTGTTGGGAGTGGATATGTTTCATTACACAAAATCTGATTGACGGTGCACTTGTAATCTCCACATATCCTAATACTGCCATCCGGTTTCACCACAGGGACGATGGGTGTTGCCCATTCGCTATACTTTATTGGTCGAATTATTTTGTCGTCCATCATTTGTTGCAAAGCCACTTCTATTTTAGGTTTTAATGCAAATGGTACTGGTCGGAATCTATAAAACCTTGGCTTACCTCCTTCCTTTACGTGGAGTTTAACCTTCTCTCCTTTGTAGTCCCCAAGACTCTCATCAAACACACTTTCAAATTCACCAATATGCTCTGGAACATTGGAACCGATGTTATTGCAACTGCTCATAATTTGTATTCCCAAATCTTGAAACCAATTCCTTCCTATCAGTGATGGGCCATCACCTGATACCACTAGTAACCACAATTTACCATTAAATTTAGCCGTGCTAACTGGAACCAACACTTTTCCAACAATTGACAGTTTCTTGTCGTTTCCCCACGTTCGCAAATCGATATCGCTCTTTTCAAATCGCATCTTTCCAAAATGTTCAACAAACCTCCTCTGGCTCATTATAGAATGACTGGCACCTGAATCAATTTCCATCTTTACAGGTCGATCGTATATGTTTATTTCTCTCACAAACGAAGATGTGCTCTGACTCGAGACCGTCAAAACATACTCTTTATTTCCCCCTTTTTGATCTGAAACTTGATTCACACTCGAACGGTGATGTTTTTGATAATGATGTGTTTTCTTCTTTTTTGTTTTGGTTATGCACGCTCTCTCTATGTGCCCCTGTTTCTTACAGAAAAAACACTGTTCGTTTTTAAAACGGCAAGTATCAGCTGAGTGATTGCCATTACATCTAAAACACCTTTTCATTTCATCTTGTTTATTCACCTTTCTGTTACCTATTCTGTTTACCACTGGTACATTGGTGGATCCCTTCAGTGTTGTTAAACTTTTTTGTGCCTCTTCATTAGCAATTGCTTCATTTTCTGCTACCTCCAACGTTAACTTTTCGTTAGCTAGCAACCTTTTCTGTAAATTCGTGTCTCTCATTCCACAAACCAATCTGTCTCTTAGCATTTCATCTAAGTCTTTGAAATCGCAATGTTGACATAATTTACGAAGAGCCGCTAAATACTCTGGAATTTCTTCTTCTTCTTGCTGGTCTCTCCGATAAAACTGAAAACGCTGAATTATTATATTTGCGTGTGGACAAAAATGTTTCCTTAGTAGAGTTATTGCTTTGTCGAAGGTAAAAGAAGCATCCGTGATGTTTTCTGGTGTCGCAATAGACTTGAGCAAAGCATATGTTTCTGTTCCGCATGATGACAAAAATATGGCCTTTTTTGCTTTATCATCGTCCAACCCATTAGCCATAAAAAAAAATTGCATTTGTTCCTCATATACCTGCCATTTGCCAGCAGCAACATTAAAGGAACACAAATCGCCAAATCTGGTAGCCATCCTTTTTGTTTCTGGCACATATACTCTCTCTTCTTCCGTCATTTACTTCTCGTCGCCACTTAATATGATTAGTTCATATATATTTCAAGTTTTATTTAGATTAATTCTTAAAGTATTTTACATTACAGAAATATGTTGTGCTTACTTAAAAGACAAGATTAAGAAGAAGGAAGTGAAATGTAATTTGACAGGCGTTCACTTTTATGCAATGTTGCAAAATTTAGTATTAGTATTACACTATACTACAATTAGTCTTTAAACTGAATCTTGAATCTTTAAAATATGTTTCTATTTTATCTTTTAGTAAAATATTTAATAGTATTGCTTGTTTCTAGCACTTTTCCACAATAAATTTGGTAATAATAGAAATTTTCACTTACAATATTAAAATTATAGTTCTTATTGACATTATTGTTGGTAACGTTGACTGGAATCGGTTGTCCTTAAAGTAGTTTTCCTTGGCAGATGTCCGTACAGATGTCCTCTCTTGTTGGTTCTGCTTTTCCTCGTGATGATCCGTCACGGATGCTGGTTCTGTTCTGTTCTTTTCAGACGATTATCCTTCGTCTTCTATGTAATTCCGTGCGCTTTTTTTTCGTTTGCGATAAACCGTCACAACACTTATTTAATTTTTTTTTTTTTTGTAGCGCAGGAACCAGAACTACCCGACTGCGCCAGTTAATTCTTGTAGTAATCCGAGTATTAAAAAAACACAAGTTTATTCGTTGGTTGCTCAAAAATTACTCCTCTTTATTGAAAACAATAATTAAAATGAAAGTTACGATTATAAACTTATTTAAAGTGAAAATTGCAATAACTGCATTTTGACAATTTATAAAATTATTAGTAATTCTATAGCTGGTGGCCTGTTTACAATTCTTTGAAATTTAAATATATGCTTATTTAACAATTCTTTTATTGAACAATTCTTTATTTTACAGTTCTTTTTCGGTCTGTTGAACTATTTAAAATTCTTACTAATTTTATATGTAGCAATTCATACGGTTATTGACTTATTAGCAATTCTTAATAATTTTTATTATTTATTTGCTTGATTTAACCTTGGTGGCTTTGTAGGTGCTTGTGTTAATGTTGTTGTTGTTGATGTTGTTTCTGTAACTCTCTCGTGCTTTAGAATGACTGCTTAAAAGCACCGTTTGTGGTTCCTTTACAGTCTTTGGAATATTAGTTGTGTTCCAGTACTTTTTTAGTAGTAAAACTAGCAGAAGAGAGAACAGTTCGAAATGTCATTCTCATTTAGGTTTGCTCAAAAAGTAAGGGAACGGAAAATTAGCAGAAATGCGATAAAATGTCAAAATTCAAAATTCCAAAAGTAAACAGCCTAAATCGGACTGGTGAAACCTTACTGAAAAGAGCGCCAACATTTAAAAAATGAGTATTGAAGACGATAAGTTAAAATTAATAATTTATAATAATAATTAATAATCTGATTCCTCATTCAGCCAGTCCTCTTCACTGCTGGAATCATCCAAAAGTGAATACATCAGTTGCTCCATATTTTCTCTTTTTGTTTTTTGCACGACAAATATTAGTTTTTCCTTTAGTTTTCAAGTTGATCATTTTCTTTATTGAAATGTATCAATACATTTTTCAACCTTGTTAGCCCTGCCAATTAAATGTCAAATTTACAATATGCACATTTCTGCTCGGCCAAATTCATGTAGCTAAAACAAGCAGAAATGTGCACCACTCAGCGCCATTTTGTTCTCGAGAGAGCTGCAAGTTTTGCTAGTTTTTGGAGTACGGGAACGCGTTGTAGCAGAATTAGTGCTAATTAGTACTAATTTGCAGGTTCTGGAACACAACTATTGTTAGACAAAAATTCACGTTTATAGCTGGTTAGTGTCTAAAAATGTCATGAAATATTGCCTTAAATTCCTTTAATATTATTATTAAATTTTATCCATATCCGTCCACATAATACATTGTTGCCATTTTCGCGCCTAGTGCACCCTTAACGTCAATGCTGCATTTCGTGCTCCCTTCCATACAAAAGCACGTTTACCAACACTGTTTTTGGACATGCTCCCTGCTGTCAAATAATTTTTGACATATTACAGAAAAAAAATCTCATTGGTCTTGGTCTTTAGGTAAAGGTAAATCTTGCAGATGTTGTATTATTTATTAAATTTATAATGAAAATTAATACAAATTCCCCTGAAACTATTACAGAACTCACAAATACAACAAAATGGAGCAAATGGATATGGAATTGAAAAAAGTAAGTAGCCGGGAGAGCCTTGAAATGGCCTAGCCTGCAAATGTGAGTCACGGGCCAGAGGGGAACTATTAAATTTATGGTTTTTCTTTTCGTTCATCCTTTATAGGCATTCACCGAAATGCAAATCAATAAAATCGAAACGACCAAAAAAATCAACATGATCGATATGAAGTGTGATATGGTCAAGACCGGCAAACAAAAATACCAGCTGACAGAGAAGGGTACCAGTGATTTGACCGATGACACAAGGTAAGTGAGGGAAATGCTTAATGGATCTAAACACTTAATAATTTGTTGTTCTTTGCAGAGTATATTTGTCGGTGGGCCGCATGTTTGTCTTGACCAATGTCACAGATATGCGCGGTGATCTCAAAGCCAAACAGGATAAATGCGACAAAGCCATCGATTTGCTGAGCAAAAAGAAGGAATTCTTGTTGAAATCATTAAAGGATCAAGAGGATGGCCTCCGTGAATTGGTACAACAACGCAAAGAAGCCGAAGCAGCCAAATAGATATACGATTATAATCAGCCCTCATTTGCATTGTCTTGAAATAAAAACACAATTTTTTGCATTTAGCTTTAATAACAAAACAATGAACAACAAACAAGATAAATGTTAAACATACACACACAAAAAGTATCCATTAAATTATTTACTAACAATAAGAGAGAAGTGAAAGATGTATTTATACTGGAGTTATTTTGGAATGCGAGGGAATTGAATCTAATATTGCAGTATAATTACAGGTCATATTTATGTCGAAGTCAAAGCGCCAAACCCAATGATTTTAAAACAGAAATAACATGCATCTTTTAAATGTCAAAGGCGGACAGCATTTTTAAAAGAAACCGGAGATGTATGCCAATATGTCACTTGCGAGTGGGTCTACGATCCGCAAGGGATCTATTCTTTCTTGCTAATAATACTATCTCCTGCTAGAGGAAATTTAACATCGTTCCTGGCAAAACCTTTAAAACTTCCTTTATCTTCTTCGTAAGGGCTTTATTACAATTCATTCTCAAAACTCAGATCCAAAACGGCTAGTATATTTTATAAAAAAAAAAATCTTATAAATAAAATTTGTTTATTACGTTTTTATAAAATCGTCCAAATTAAAATTGGCATAGGATACAAATTCATTGCCTAAATTACGTTCATGTTCTGGATGAAAATTGCACTTTTTCACACCCGGCAGTGAGGGCAGCAACCACTGTTCGACTACTTCACCCGAGCAAAAGATGATTTTGGCATTTGGTTTAAGAAGATTTCTAATAATTTTCGATATTTTCGTTATACATTCTTCGGAAAGAAAAGGCGGATCGGCTATAATGAGGTCATAACTCTGCCACAAGGATTTCAGGTAGTCCGTTGTGTCGGCTTCATTAAATTCATAGAATACAAAATCATCCCCATAGGCCGAAAAACGTTTGTCGTATTCAAATATGTTTACTAAAAAGATAACAAATTTAAATTAAGTGGGAGTTATGCATAATTTTAGATGGTTTTACCATTTTCATGTATCTCTTTAATGGTACCATACAATGATGGGCATGATAGCAGAGCTACTTTATATCCTTTTGAATTTTCATTGCTGGCCTGCACCAATTGTGACACCACAGATCCCAATGTCTGTTTGGTTTTGGCGCTATACCAAAATTGGCTTAGTTGCTGGAAATAAGAGAAAGCTATTAAATACTCTTTTCAAATCGAGACTAAAGGCTTGCTAATCAAATCGGAGCCTTGGTCTGGATTCCATCACATCTTAATTGCCGACACACCAAGCATTTCTACCCACCCAGTCTTCTTCAAACTCGGCATCCTTTCCAGCTTTTTGTTCGACTTTCTGCATTTCTTCTTGTTCCCTTTGGGCCTTTTCCGCTAGAAACTGCTGAAGAATGGCCATTGTATCGGCCGGTAAACAAATATCATCATCTTCCATTGTTTTTAGTAGAATTTCTATTCAATGTTTATGTTTTTGTTGACTGTGGCTGAGCTCGCACGTTTTTTGTCGCAAAAAAAGTCTGATTGTTATTAAAGTTATTGTGAATGACAATTTATTTGTTAAAGGTATACCTTTGTTATTAGCGGAGAATTTATGGCGGCTCACATATTTGTCGGTTTAATGTGTGGCCAGTTTGCTGACAATGTGCCATTATAACGGTTTAATATACATTCACAATAAAATTGTTATTTACTTCTTAAGTGGGCGGGCCACACATCAAACTTTATTACTTTATGGGTTACCATAAGAAATTGGCATATAAACAGCACACAGATAATAAATTAACCTGATTTTCGACTGTTTAGCATAATTTAAAAGCTTTAAAAACAATTCTAAGGGAAAATCCAGATTTTTGAGGAAATATGCTAATAAATCCAGCTTTTTCATATTTGTTGTGCCTTTTTGTTCAATTTAAATGTGAACAACAAATTCAAAATAATTAAAAACTATTCATCGTGTCTCATTTTAAATAATGTTGGCAGAAAGTAGACAGACTTATAGGTGTATTGTAATAGCTTTTGCAAACCTGGTGTACTTTCTTAATTTAACGGGGTCTGTCGTGATTTTTTACTTTTATTAATATTAAAATTGTCATTCCGTTTGTAACATCCCTAAATATTCGTCGTAGACCACATAAAGTATATATATTCCAGCATAAAATTCTAAGTCGATTAAATGATGTCCGTCTGTCTGTCTGTTGAAATCACAATACAGCCCAAATTATTTGACGTAGAGCTTAAACAATGTGTATTATGTCTAGGAGGGTTATTATTGCAAATCAGATGTATCGGTCCAAGTTTTGGTATATCCATCATATAACGGTTCCTTCCAATATTCGGTATTTCGATGATTTTTGCCACATTGCTCTTCGAATTTTTCTAAAAATTGATATTTCTACTTCATAATAGGTTCTGGCTCCGGTGGCGAAACATTGTATGTATATGTCCACGTTTTTGTATAGCCCCATATTACTTTACTTCCCCAAATATTGGGAGGGATTTTGATGATTTTTGCCACATTTTTCCACGGATTTGTTAAAAAAATTGGTATATGTAGTTCGCAATGGGCTCTAGCTCCGATGGCTCCTTATAACGGTACCTCTCAATATTCGGTATTTTGATGATTTTTGCAACATTTTGCTACGGATTCGTCTAAAAATTGGTATTTGTAGTTCGCAATGGAAACATTGAAACATTGTATGTATGGTTTTAGGTTTTTGTATAGCCCCCATATAACGGTACCTCCCAATATTCGGTATTTTGATGATTTTTGCCACATATTTCCACGGTTTTGTCCAAAAATTTGATTTGTTGTTCGTGATGAGTTCTAGCTCCTGTGGCGAAATATAGTATGTATAGCTCCACGTTTTCATATAGGGCACATATAACGGTACCTCCCAATATTCCGTATTTTGATGATTTTTGCACATTTTTCCTCGGATTTGTCTAAAAATTGGTATTTGTAGTTTGTAATGGGCTCTAGCTCCGTTGGCCAAACATTGTGTGTATAGGTCCACGTTATCATATAGCGCACATATATACCCCCAATATTCGGCATTTTGATTATTTTCGCCTAATTTTTCCACGGATTTGTCTAAAAATTGGTAATTGCAGTTCATAATGGGTTCTACCTTCGCTGGCGGACCATTATTTGTATAGCTCCACGTTTTTGTATAGCCCCTTATAACAATACCCACCGATATTCCGTGTTTTTATAATCATAGTCACATTTGTCCACGAAATTGTTTCAAATTTGGTATTCAAGAAGATTTGGCAGATGACAATCCTTATATTGGAGCCATACGAAAACGGGCCTCACCTACTTTATGGTTTTTTTTTGAAAAGTTTTACGCCATTATCCATACGGTCTCACTGGTATTCGTAGTTTAAAGTGGAACACGTTTGAATTCAGATACTTTTATAAAAAAATGTTTTATTTACCCAATGGTGGGGGGTATTTAAAGTTCGGCACGGCCTAACGTAAGGTTTTTTTACTTGTTTTCAAATGTCTTTGTTTTATTTGCAATTTTGTATCTCCAACTCTGACGATAGTATAACTCATTATAATTAATTTATATACGATTGTTGTTGTTGTTGAATTGTATTTGTTGTAGTTTTCCCTCACCATTTTTATGCAATTATACATTATTAATTTATGGTGTGACCAGGAGTCCTTAAAAATGTTGACACTATTGTGAATGATTACAATAAAATACTTAGGTACCACTAGATACAACTCCCCCACATTTCCATCTATTTTAAATATAAATTTTAAAATATTTATATGAAATTTAACTTGTTATTAAATGTAACGGTCCTTTTCCCCTTATTTTTAACTAATTTTCTTTATTTTATGTCAGAAACACCGATTAAAATCAGCTCCCAACTCACATGACACTATCATACCTAGTGAACCCTAATTGACAATACAACTGACGTGTGTGCGTAAATAAGTTAGTTTTTTTCTTTCATTTACGTAGTGCATATAGAGCTAAAGTTTTAAACAAATTCCGATAGCCCGTAGCAGAAAATAATGTAAGTAATATAATTGAAAATAAATGGCAGTTAAAAGTTTCCATTTACATAGCCGATTAAAATCCCAACGATAATGGAAGTTTGTGGAAATTATTTTGGCTGATCGATTGCCGTTGAAAGCAAGTGGTCGGGCATTGTGGATTGTGCATAAATAGGGCCAATTACCAGCATATTTCATACATATTCATAATTTCTAATGTGTTGAATGAATGTAAGAGAAAATTAAACTCTCGAGGAATGTATCAAAGTGCAGTTACAATGTAAATAATGTGCGGAACTGATGGACGACGGGCTATAAAAAAAGGAAAACAAGATTAAAATCAATTTGGGTCACTTGTCTGCCGTGTGCTGTGATGTGGGGAGGGAACAACAACAGCAGTGAAAACATGAAATCCCCTTCTGTTTGTTTTTGGAAAAGTTGAAAACAGCAGCAGTTAGTTACGAAGAGCAGTTAACACACAACCCCCCCCCGAAATAGGTAGCATAAAAATTGAGGTTAAATTAAAATTTGTGACGTTGAATATTTTTAATGAGCCAGTCAGCCAGCTAGCCAATCTACCATTTTCTTTGTGACAATCCAATGCCCCTTGTCACTTCTTCACTGCTTGTTTGTGGCCTATGCAAAAAATGAAATCACTGATCTCATACATAAATGTAAACAGGTCATTGAACTGAGTGGTGATGATATTCTTGTGAAATCTGAAGACTTTATGGAATCATTTACGTGTCTATGTACGCTGATACATCTTTTATTGAAGAATCAAGATCAATTAACCATATACAATTCGCTTTAAGGGATACCCTTATGTTATTTCCAATTGCTTCCAATCACCTCCCCTTCCAACCATTTGTTTCTTTATATTACAAATGCATTATCATTTAATTTAATTGCATATTGTTTGTAATATAACTATATATAACTACATGCTTAACGCAAACACAATTGCCTGGACTTTGAAAGTTGTGATATTTTCTCAAAATCCAGTTTTTTTATTCAAAACAGATTTTTGCTGCCGCAGAGATTATGCATGCAATCGGTCTTGAAATTATTTCTCTATAGAAATGTGAAACGAAGTTCAACAAGAAAAAAAAAAGCAGCTAAGTTCGTCCCGGCTGAACTTCCAATGCCCTACACCATATAGAAGGAACTTGCAAAATATTGAGAAAATGTCGTCGAAAAATTCCATTTAAATGAAGGCTATATGAAGACGTGGACCTGCATACAAAATTTTTTGTCATAGGCTGTACCTTCAAGGACCTACAAATACGAAAATTAAAACAATTACATTGAATAATGTCGCTAATAACATCAAAATGCCGAAAAAGGGAAATACCGTTATGTTTGAGATATAAGAAGACATGGACCTGCATGTACAATTTTCTGTCATAGGTTGAAACAACCATAACAACCATCTTTAATACCATAAAAATACAATAACTTTTTAAGTCCATTTATGCATGCCAGTCCGCCCTTTCGTCCGTCTGTCCATGAATTTTTGCGAACAAAATGTAGGTAGCATTTATTTTCCGATTGAGATGAAATTTTCAAACATCATTCGTTTGGCCCAAGGATAAACCCTATTGAAATTGGTGAGAATCGGTTCAAATTTAGATATAACTGCCATATATATTTTCAAACAATTTCGTTGGCCAATATCAATCCAAATGAGCTGAATGTTAGCCCATCCGACTGAATTCAGTCTGGAAGCAAGTAAATAAGATGTGGAGAAATTCGGTTCAGACATAGGTATAGATCCCATATATATGTTTCATCCGATTTGGGGTTTTAAGTCCCTCCCATGCGTAATATGCACTCCACAAGAGTAATATTTGGCACCAGATAACTTATGGAGCTCAACAATACCTCTGTAAAATTTCATTGTGATCGGATTTTAGGTTTATTGTGTGCCAAATGGCTAATATCGGTCCAGATGAAGTAAATTTAGGCACGTACGACCGAAACCAGCCTAGAAGCAACTACGTCAAATTTGGTGAAAATCGGTTCAGATATAGCTATGGCTCCCATATATACAGGGTGAGATAAAAAAAAACGGCAACAAAGTCAAACGCCATTTTTTAAAAATTTTATTGAATGGAAGCATCAGATTTTAGAATAAGTTTAGATTTATTCGAATTGGTCACCTTTGACACGAATTATGCCCTTTAAACGGCCAATGAAGCCGTCATACGATGCCCGAATGTTGCTCTGCGGTATTTTGGCCCATTCCCGGCGAAGCGCTTACTTGAGGTGATAGACACTTTGGTTGTTTTTAGTGCCAACCTTGCCTTCGAAAACACTCCAGACACAATAGTCCAACGGATTGGTATCCGGAGATTTTGGTGGCCATTGTGCGCTGGAAATGAAGCTCATTTTGTAATCATTCTTAGGTGGCGCGTGCTGTGTGCGATGGTGCTGAGTCCTGTTGGAATGTCCAAGGTCTGCGGCCAAAATGTTTACGTGCCCAAAGCTGTAATAGAACCTCCAGAATATTTTCG